TAGTAAAACAGACAGAAGGCTGACTAATACAGACAAAATGCTTATTAATAAAAGTAGAAGTAGCTTAGTAATTACAGTGGAATAGAAGAGCCAGTTTTGCTATTGGCTAAGGAACAACAGGCTGAAAGGTATAAATAGGAGAGGTTCTCTGAGAGACACGAATAACAACCCACCAACCCATCAAGCACCACACACACTCTCAAGGATTTAGCTAGCAGCAAACCTGCAGTTAATCCCCTGAGCTCTTTAGCTCTCAGAGAATAGACTCCTTTCTTTAAAGTCTAGGAAATTCCTTAAGCACAGTAGAGCCTCTGACTTTCAAATAACCTGAAGGAAAACGCCCTTGGTATAGTGCATGAGTTCACTATTTGACTAACCCTAGACTGCGAGAGCTAGTGGCGTCATTATTTGAGACTGTGGTACGTCTCCTGTAGAGCTTACAGTAATTAGACTAGCAGTAAAGAGATTAATTCTATTCTTGATCTTCAACTCTAAATTGGAAGCTTCAGACTGCTTCAAGTTATACAAATCCTCTAAAGACATTAAATTGTCCTTACTAGCCAAAGCTTACTAAGTTAACCAAGACATTAAGTTGTCTTTGTTATCCTCTTATCTTACTTATCTAAAAACCCTATTCTACTAACCCAAGTAGCTAGTCCTTAAGCTACTAACCAAACCTCCTTACAGCCCATCTTCTAAGATTTCTTAAAAAGTCCCTTGTAAACAGGCAAGTGAGGCTTTAGAGTACTTAAGCAGATTAGTAGGTGGTCTTTGAATTAGTCCCCCACGAACACCAGGATAGCTTGGTTGAAAGGCTAACCCAGTGAACCCTGGAAAGAAAAGATTGGGAAAACCAAATCTAAGTATTCCATACTATACCCTTCTTGCTTCTAGTTTAGAACAGACCAAACTCCATTCTCTTTTATTAAAAAGTAGTCTTCTAGGATTTCTCCTAGAATCTTCTTTATACCAAACCTCATTTTTATTTTTACTTACTTTTCTTATCCTAACCTTTTCTTTACGACACCGGTCAAGATAGAAGGAGTTGTCAATTGGCCACGGCCCGAGTGCAAACGAGACATTCAAGCATTCCTTGGATTCACCAACTTCTATTGAAGGTTCATCCGAGACTATGGCAAAATAGCAAAGCCACTCAGTTCACTAACAGGCAACGCTACTTTCGAATGGACCATCGAACAAGAAATAGCCTTCACGAACCTGAAGAACGCTCTCTGCACAGCGCCAGTGTTAGCTATACCCAATGACGACGACCCATATCGAGTAGAATGCGACGCCTCGGACTTTGCCATAGGAGCGGAATTAGCCCAGAAACAAGATGGCAAATGAAAGCCCGTTACTTACCTGTCTAAAGCCATGACAGCTGCCGAAAGAAATTACGAGATTTACGACAAGGAACTTCTTGCGATCATGACTAGTCTTGATGAGTGGCGTCAGTACCTCATGGGCGTCGTACATCCATTCGAAATATGGACGGATCACAAGAACCTAGAATACTTCCGGAAGCCGCAGAAGCTTAATCGGCGACAGGCCCGATGGGTAACCGAATTAGCGGAATACCAATACTCGCTGCATTACAAGCCCGGCAAATCTAATGGCAAAGCAGACAGACTATCTCGCCAAAAGAGGCATAATGCAGGAAAGGAAGACAGTTCAGATATTGTATTACTAAAACCAGAACATTTTCGTGCCCTGATCCGTAGTACCATATTTAGTTTAGAAGGAATTGACCAGGACTGGGTCACAGAAATTAAAAAATACAAAAAGAACCGAGATTCGCTAGTTACCGTAGCTTTACAGAACAAGGACAAAGACTGGAACAAAGATAGTACCGGACTTGTAACATGGAAGAACCGTATCTACGTACCGGTAAATAGAAAACTCCGTGAGCAGATCATTGCTCACCACCATGATACCCCATTGGCTGGACATCCTGGTCAATACAAGATGCATGAAATGGTCACGCGCAACTACTGGTGGCCCCAAATTCAAGAAGATGTCAGGAAGTACGTGGCCGGATGCGAGAAATGCCAGAAGACCAAGATCCATACGACACGACCTACCGGACTTCTATTTCCAAACGAAATTCCCTCACGACCCTGGGAAGTAATCTCAGTGGACAAGATAGGCGTATTACCGGATTCCTTCGGGTACAATGCGATTCTCGTAATTGTCTGCATGTACTCTAAGCAGATAATCGCAATACCAAGTACTATTGAACTCAATGCCGAAGGGTGGGCAAAGGCACTCCAAGATAACGTAGTCGCACATCATGGATTACCCTGCAAGATCATCAGCGATAGGGGAACTGAATTCAAGAATCAGTTCATCTCTGAGTTGTACCGATCCCTCGGAATCGAAGTCAACCCCTCGACCGCGTATCACCCCCAGACAGATGGACAAACGGAACGCGTCAATCGTGAGATAGAACAGTATCTCCGATTATTCATCAACTACTGACAAGCAGATTGGGCCGAATGGTTGCCACTCGCAGCCTTTTCGTATAACAATAAAGTCCACTCATCCACCAGATATACCCTGTTCTTTGTCAATAAAGGGTATCACCCTTACGAAGGAACCCAACCGGTGCGAGAAGGACTAAGCGAAAACGTTCAACAGTTTGTCGATAGAATGGATCGAGTACGTGAGGACACTAGCGCCGCTATTAGTTTAGCGCAGGAAACAATGAAGCGCTTCTACGACCGAAAGAGAAAGAACGGACCAGAGTACCAAGAGGGAGATAAAGTCTGGCTAGAAGGAATAAACATCTGAACAGATAGGCCAATGAAAAAGCTCGACGATAAGAGATATGGACCCTTCAAGGTCAAACACAAAATTGGGGCTTCCGCCTATGAATTGGAACTTCCACGTCAATGGAAACAACACCCCGTTTTCAATGAAAGCCTACTTAGTCCCTTCAAGGAACCCGCATATCCATCACAACGACGAGAACCGATAGTCCCTGACCTCGTAAATGGCAAGGAAGAATGGAAAGTCGAAGACATTCTTGACTCTCGTCGTGATCAAAATGGAAACTTAGAATATCAGGTGCTCTGGAAAAACAGCCCTCACGGCGATCGCCGCTCCTGGGAATCACAGGTGAACTTAACCAATTGTCAAGAACTTCTACAGGAATTCCTTGCAAGACGACCCGACAAACCCGCGCCCATGATGATTCGAATTCCCCCTTTGTTAACACGACCCATTCACATACTCACGCATGATACCACTCTTTTGGTACAACGGATGGGTGGAATCCTCCCGAAGCAAGGATCTGAAGAATCCGCTGGGTTTGATCTTTACTCAGCTGAAAGCGTCAAAATACCGACACGAGATCGCAAGATTGTCGGCACCGGCATGGCAATGCGTGCCCCTCACGGAACCTACGCACGAATTGCGCCACGAAGTGGGTTAGCAGTCAAAGGGATAGATGTCGGGGCTGGAGTCGTCGACCGAGATTATACCGGAGAAGTACGCGTAGTGTTGATCAATTCCACAAATCAACCCTTCCAGGTACGCGCCGGCGATCGAATCGCACAAGTCATTTTGGAACGCATTGCGTCATGCGATATCGAGGAGGTGTTAAGTTTAACAGAGACTCAACAAGGGTCGGGAGGTTTTGGATCAACGGGTAAATAATCGTGAGGACACGATTCTAGACGGGGGGGGGGGGTAATGTCATGAATATTACATATTCCGGATGGTTCTCCCGAATTCCATGGTATTCTTTTACTTTCTATACACCTCCGTATATTTGTAGGATATTCTAGATATTCAGTCTGACATGTATATAAGAAGCTCGTACTGCTCAATAACAAGCCAGATTCGAGCTGGTCTTTCCTCACTCACATTCCTCTCGTCGTTCTCCTCAGCTTTGTCGTAGCTCAGTCCAGTTGGATTGTTAGTTGCTGACAGACAGCTTGGAGGCGCGGCATGGTTACGCTGTGGTGGATGTACGATTGCGTCTACTATGCTCTCGAATATATTGTTGAAGCGCCTAGTGGCTCTGGCTCGGCGTTCCGCCCGGCATGGACTTAAGGTGGACATCTTAGATTAGGCGCTGCTAATACGTAGATAGTGATTGGACAACCATATGTAGTGCTCCCACGCACGGACCTCTTTATGGCAGGCTTCCCCATTCTAGCGGACTTTCAATTTTGCTTCCTTTTAGTAATATAAGGACTCCTCTCGCATTCCCACTCTGTGTGCTCTTTCCCTTCGCACTCAGAGTAAGTCCCTTCGTTGCTCTTGCGCAGTATGCACTTATGCTTATGCCCTGTATAGCTAATCCCCCCGTGTGTATTAGGTTAGATCTATACAGCGTGCTCTTTCCCTTCGCACTCAGACTAGTCCCCCCGTGTGTATTGGATCGTGCCCGCGTGCCACTCGCCAGTTCGCGCTCGCGCAGCCCAGTCGTCGTATCACGATAATATATATGTGGAATTTACTCTTAGCTGAGCTGTCTAGACGGCACGCGTCTGATAGTACGCCGTCTTGACGAGACTGCCATAGCTGGACCTCCCAGCATCACCAGTCCCGAGTGACGGTTTGGTTCCCCATTCGCGCGCACAATAGGATTCGATGAAGACGATGAGTGTCACCGAAGGAAGTGGTCATTGAAGTACACCGTACATTGCTGGTGGGTCCGACTATAGACATGATTGAATGAACGAACGTGATAAGTTGCCACGGCAAGAGGCTATCCGGGGGGGGGGGGTGGGG